CAACCCCCCGCTGTGTGCAGTCTACAGCCGCGCACAGTCCCCACTGTGTGCAGTCTACAGCCGCGCACAGTCCCCGCTGTGTGCAGTCTACAGCCGTGCACAGTCCCCGCTGTGTGCAGTCTACAGCCGTGCACAGTCCCCGCTGTGTGCCATCTACACACACGCACAGTCCCCGCTGTGTGCCATCGACTCCATCATGAAAAATATTTATTTTCTTTGCTGCAACTTCCCCAAAAAAACATTTTTGTTCCTTTTTTTTTTAAGGCCAAAGTTTTATCCCGGCGGGTCTTTACTGCTCTCACACACACACTGCTCGTCCTTTCAGCCGAGCCTCTGGTGTCACATGGTTGGCTTGATGTTTCTATATAATGGTCATACTGGGTGGTGGTCTCTCTCCACGGCCGAGTTCCTGAAGGGCTATAAAGTCCGGGTGGGAATGGAACGCCTTCCGAGGAGGAAGCAAATAACATTTTGGGCTGCGAGACTTAATCCTAAATGTTTCCTCGCAGCTCCTTTTTTATTATACGTCTTTATACGATATTTTTAATGACCCACTCCGGCCGCAATACACTTACTGCAACGGAAGCAAGCGGCTGTTTTGTGATTGGCCAGGAGGAGAAGGGGGCGGAGATGGGAGTTGGGCAGGAGCTGGACTTCCAGGAGCAGGTATCACGGTGGAGGAGGAGGAGGAAGGTCTCATTATACGGCAGACGGGGGTGTTTCACAACAAAGGGACAACCTGCTCAGCTGCAGCGAGTGCATTGTGCCCGGAGTTAGGTTTTAGATCCCCCGGACTCCGCGGAGAATGTCCTGAGACCACGCCGAACGTGGACTGCAGATAATGCACTTTACTTGTTGGGATGCTGACCCGGGAAACAGTCTTCTGAAAGCACTTCACCAGGCACTGAATGTACCGCGCGGGGTCAGCATTTCACTGAGGTCACGGACCTGACGCAGGACACTCCGCTCTGTCCCAGGGCAGGACGGACATCAATCCACGAGCGGCTCCGTGTTACTTTCTGCAAACTTTATATTGTTTTTACTGTATATAGGTAACAATAAACAGATGTTAACATCGCACAGCGTATGGATTATTCATTATTGGGGACTGCTACTGTTACACCTGCAGTAAAATATGTGTGGTACTTACATTGGGGGTCAGTGGGGAGAATGCTCCTTACATTGGTGGTCAGTGGGAAGAATGCCCCTTACATTGGTGGTCAGTGGGAAGAATGCCCCTTACATTGGTGGTCAGTGGGAAGAATGCCCCTTACATTGGTGGTCAGTGGGAAGAATGCCCCTTACATTGGTGGTCAGTGGGAAGAATGCCCCTTACATTGGTGGTCAGTGGGAAGAATGCCCCTTACATTGGTGGTCAGTGGGAAGAATGCCCCTTACATTGGTGGTCAGTGGGAAGAATGCCCCTTACATTGGTGGTCAGTGGGAAGAATGCCCCTTACATTGGTGGTCAGTGGGAAGAATGCCCCTTACATTGGTGGTCAGTGGGAAGAATGCCCCTTACATTGGTGGTCAGTGGGAAGAATGCCCCTTACATTGGTGGTCAGTGGGAAGAATGCCCCTTACATTGGTGGTCAGTGGGAAGAATGCCCCTTACATTGGTGGTCAGTGGGAAGAATGCCCCTTACATTGGTGGTCAGTGGGAAGAATGCCCCTTACATTGGTGGTCAGTGGGAAGAATGCCCCTTACATTGGTGGTCAGTGGGAAGAATGCCCCTTACATTGGTGGTCAGTGGGAAGAATGCCCCTTACATTGGTGGTCAGTGGGAAGAATGCCCCTTACATTGGTGGTCAGTGGGAAGAATGCCCCTTACATTGGTGGTCAGTGGGAAGAATGCCCCTTACATTGGTGGTCAGTGGGAAGAATGCCCCTTACATTGGTGGTCAGTGGGAAGAATGCCCCTTACATTGGTGGTCAGTGGGAAGAATGCCCCTTACATTGGTGGTCAGTGGGAAGAATGCCCCTTACATTGGTGGTCAGTGGGAAGAATGCCCCTTACATTGGTGGTCAGTGGGAAGAATGCCCCTTACATTGGTGGTCAGTGGGAAGAATGCCCCTTACATTGGTGGTCAGTGGGAAGAATGCCCCTTACATTGGTGGTCAGTGGGAAGAATGCCCCTTACATTGGTGGTCAGTGGGAAGAATGCCCCTTACATTGGTGGTCAGTGGGAAGAATGCCCCTTACATTGGTGGTCAGTGGGAAGAATGCCCCTTACATTGGTGGTCAGTGGGAAGAATGCCCCTTACATTGGTGGTCAGTGGGAAGAATGCCCCTTACATTGGTGGTCAGTGGGAAGAATGCCCCTTACATTGGTGGTCAGTGGGAAGAATGCCCCTTACATTGGTGGTCAGTGGGAAGAATGCCCCTTACATTGGTGGTCAGTGGGAAGAATGCCCCTTACATTGGTGGTCAGTGGGAAGAATGCCCCTTACATTGGTGGTCAGTGGGAAGAATGCCCCTTACATTGGTGGTCAGTGGGAAGAATGCCCCTTACATTGGTGGTCAGTGGGAAGAATGCCCCTTACATTGGTGGTCAGTGGGAAGAATGCCCCTTACATTGGTGGTCAGTGGGAAGAATGCCCCTTACATTGGTGGTCAGTGGGAAGAATGCCCCTTACATTGGTGGTCAGTGGGAAGAATGCCCCTTACATTGGTGGTCAGTGGGAAGAATGCCCCTTACATTGGTGGTCAGTGGGAAGAATGCCCCTTACATTGGTGGTCAGTGGGAAGAATGCCCCTTACATTGGTGGTCAGTGGGAAGAATGCCCCTTACATTGGTGGTCAGTGGGAAGAATGCCCCTTACATTGGTGGTCAGTGGGAAGAATGCCCCTTACATTGGTGGTCAGTGGGAAGAATGCCCCTTACATTGGTGGTCAGTGGGAAGAATGCCCCTTACATTGGTGGTCAGTGGGAAGAATGCCCCTTACATTGGTGGTCAGTGGGAAGAATGCCCCTTACATTGGTGGTCAGTGGGAAGAATGCCCCTTACATTGGTGGTCAGTGGGAAGAATGCCCCTTACATTGGTGGTCAGTGGGAAGAATGCCCCTTACATTGGTGGTCAGTGGGAAGAATGCCCCTTACATTGGTGGTCAGTGGGAAGAATGCCCCTTACATTGGTGGTCAGTGGGAAGAATGCCCCTTACATTGGTGGTCAGTGGGAAGAATGCCCCTTACATTGGTGGTCAGTGGGAAGAATGCCCCTTACATTGGTGGTCAGTGGGAAGAATGCCCCTTACATTGGTGGTCAGTGAGAAGAATGCTCCTTACATTGGGGGGTCAGCGGGAAGAATGTCCCCCTTGCAGTGGTGGTCAGAATGCTTTGTTTACAGGCAGCTAAAAGATCTGTAAAGTGGCATTGCACCCAGAACTATGCGGGGGACCATCAGACGGAAGGTCAATCAGCCACAGCTCGAGGAACCCCCAACAACCTCTGGAGGAACCCTTGTTGGGAATGGCTGGTTTAGATGGAAAGTGTCAGAAGGGGGACACGTTCCCAAAGCAACCAATCAGCATCAATCTCTGTTTCCTGTCCAGTCTGGGAGAAGGTTCAGAAATCTCTCATCAATATAAACTAAACCAATTCAGTCTTCATTTGAGACCACAACAGACACTTCCACACATTACTCTTCTTCAGGTGATCTTGGTATTTGGTTTTTGTACCTCCTCCCCCCTCAGTCATCAAAACGTCTTTCACAAGAACTGTCTCTGTTCCCTTTTAAACAACCCAATCAGCAGAACTAAACAGAGAACTGGAAGTTGGAAGCTGAATGTGGTTGCTGGAGACCAACAAAGACAAATATATAAGAAACTCTAATTTGGGAACCCCCGAAAAAGGTCCTTGATCCACCCCGAGGCCCATTCACAGCCAGCTGGATTTTTATGAACAGCCGTTGTTAGGATTCCAGGTTTTGTGACCCGGTTGGGATAACTAACCTGACAATCAAGGCTCCGCCCATGCTGTGCCAAAGTCAATTCCCAGACAATGGCGATTGGATAGCTGCAACATTATTGATGGTCATGAGAAGATATCTCTGTGGACAACTAATAGGCGCTGCTCCGGAAAGGCGCCCTTCGGGTGATATAGAAGATGGAATTGGCAGTGGTACCAACCTGACGACTCTCCAACGCTTCAAATGGGGACACCGGTTCTGGGGACGACTGTTAAACTCTGCCCATGGGGACACAACGCTTCTGATGACGACTCTCCAACTCTGCTCATGGGGACACAACGGTTCTGATGACGACTCTCCAAATCTTCCCATGGGGACACAACGGTTCTGGCGACGACTGTCCAACTCTTCCCATGGGGACACCGGTTCTGATGACGACTCTCCAACGCTTCCCATGGAGACACCGGTTCTGATGACGACTCTCCAACTTTTCCTATGGGAACACTGGTTCTGATGACGACTCTCCAACTCTTCCCATGGGAACACCGGTTCTGATGACGACTCTCCAACTTTTCCCATGGGAACACTGGTTCTGATGACGACTCTCCAACTTTTCCCATGGGAACACCGGTTCTGATGACGACTCTCCAACGCTTCCCATGGAGACACCGGTTCTGATGACGACTCTCCAACGCTTCCCATGGAGACACCGGTTCTGATGACGACTCTCCAACGCTTCCCATGGGGACACAACGGTTCTGGTGACGACTGTCCAAGAGAGGGTTTCTTTCATGTTGGAGAGATTTCCTCTCGCTCTACCGTTCTCCTGGCAACCGCCAAACCCAGACACGCCCATCGGATTGACAGACAGAGAAGCGTGATTGGTCACTCCAGAGAACACGCCTCCTCTTCTCTAGAGTCCAGTGGCGGCGTGCGTTACACCACGGCATCCCACGCTTTGCATTGCACTTGGTGATGTGCGGCTTGGATGCAGCTGCTCGGCCATGGACACCCATTCCATGGAGCTCTCTACGCACTGTTGTTGTGCCAATCTGACGGCCGCATGGAGTTTGGAGGTCTGTAGCTATTGACTCTGCAGACAGTTGGCGACTTCTGCGCACTGTGCGCTTCAGCATGCGCTGACCCCGCTCTGTCATGTGACGTGGCCGACCACTTCCTGGCTGAGTTGCTGTTGTTCCCAGTTGCTTCCACTTTGTTATAATCCCAGTAACAGGTGACCGCGGCGGAATGTTTAGTAGCCAGGAAATGTCACGAAACACCTGAATCCCACCCCCCTGGGGATGAACCCTATAACCCGAGTACAGAGAGATGACATCACAGCTTTGTATATACAGTGTTATATATTCCATGTCTTCCTATCGGCTGTATACCGGGAGGACAGCAGGGTCCTGCAATAGGTTAATCTGGGTTATGTGCAGTATGTTATTCCTGGATCCGGGTTTTACCTCGGGCTGTTTACCTGACACATGACAGACGGTTCCTCCGCCTGCTGCACAAGCCGCCCTTTGTGAGTCTCAGTCTCCTCCAGGCACCGTAGCTGCACTTGTGGACGGGCGATGCGCTCGCATTTTACCCTACAGCAATTTGTACGACCCCTGCTGACCCCGGCCTCCTCCTACAGCAAGCTGTGTGGCCCTATGATTGCCCAGCATGGCCACTAATCGTTATAGATTTTCCCACTCGCTCTATGAGGTGATGCCATATCCTGGCAGCGGCGGTGTTTTCTCATCTGCGCTGCCAGCGGAGGCTCCAGACGTTCTGTAAACACCCCGACCTACGACAACAGACGCATTTCTCCAGCACAGTAAACATGTTTATTTCAAGAAGAGACATCGGCACACGTACTGCTCCCTTAATTGGCTTTAACCATTTATTACTTAAAGCGGACCTCCGTCCTCCCCTTCAGTCTCCTATCGGACCTCCGTCCTCCCCTTCAGTCTCCTATCGGACCTCCGTCCTCCCCTTCAGTCTCCTATCTGACCTCCGTCCTCCCCTTCAGTCTCCTATCTGACCTCCGTCCTCCCCTTCAGTCTCCTATCTGACCTCCGTCCTCCCCTTCAGTCTTCTATCTGACCTCCGTCCACCCCTTCAGTCTTGGGGTCACAATGTCCTGTTGCCGGAATTCATGTGTATGGAGAGACATTATCAGTGCATTGGAAGGAACGATATTGAGCAATGACTGACCTTTGAGGTGTGCGGTGATACAGACCCGCCTGGGAATGGCGGCGTTGTCACCGCGTATCTCAGCGCCTCTCGGAGGGACGCCATGCTAAGACCCCCATTCAGATTCCCCATGACCCATCAACACAGAGAGCTGTGCCAGCATTGCATAGAGGATCAGCCAATGTAACATAGAGGGGAAAAGCGCTGGGACGTTCAGCTATATAATGTGATGCTGTAAAGCCCCCTCCCCGACCTCCGCGGTGCCGCCATGTTACCGCATTACCTATAATACTGTAGAGTGCGGAATAACCCCCCCC